GGGGGAAAGTCTTCATATTTATTCAACTTCATCAAAGCCCAGAAGCCCAAGAAATAATAGTTACTAGGAGCACTGAACTAATGATGTGTAGTAGGCTAAGTATGGGGGTGCTAACCTAAAGGATGGCAATTCAAACCCACCAACAACTCTGCAGGACAAAGATGAGCAGGCAGTTGTCATCAATTAAGACTTACAGCCTTGAAAACCTGGGAAAGGGATCATGAGCTTAACTCAACAATAGCAATTTGTTGGAGTTTAGAAACACTTTGCTAAGAAGCTGGTTGCAATCCCAAAGTCACACAATTCGAATCCATCAGCTGCTTCCTGGGAGAAGGATGGGTAATCTCCTCCTGTGCAATTTACTACTGCCTCTGAAAAACTACTGGAAGGTCAGTTATGAGTTGGTTCAGATTCAGCAGCACAAGCCATCACTCAGTTAATTCAGGTTCAAGGCTCCTCTCACTATGATATGACAACTTCAAACAAATTCAAAGTTAATCTAAGTCACTTTAGAGCAGTGGTTCTCAATTAGGGGTGATTCTGGCTCATCAATGAATATTTGATAATGTCCAGATACATTTTTTATTATCATATCTGGGAGTGGGATGTGTGTGCTACTGGCATTTACTAAGTTGAGGCCAGAAATGCTGCTAAACAATCCTTCAGTGTACAGGATTTTTGACAACAAATTGCATGGTTTAAAACATCAACAGCAGTAGAGTTGCTGTTAAGTGCCGTCGAGTTGACCATAATTCATAGCGACTCTGTGAACGATGGATCTGAACTCTGCCCTATCCTCTGCCATCTTCATCGTCTTCAACACATTTGAGCCCACTGTTATAGTCACTGTGTCAATCCACCTTGTGAAGGGTCTTCCCCTCCTTCACTGACCCTCCACCATTCCAAGCATGATCTACTTTTCCATGGACTAGCCCCTCCTAATAACATGCCCAAAGTATGTGAGACAAAGTTGCACTATCCTTACCACCTAGGAACACTCTGACTATACCTTTTTCAAGATATACTTGTTTGTTCTTGTACCAGTCCATGAGATACCCAGCACTCTTCTCCAATACAACTCAAAGATAACTGAAAAGATCATGGTGTGGATCAGGCACATCTTAGTCTTCAAACTGGCATCACTGCTCTCCATACTCTAGAGAGGCCTTGACAGCAGACTTCCCCAATGCAATACATATTTTGATTTCCTGGCTATTGATTTCAAGGGTGTTGACTATGGATCCAAGCAAAATGAATTCATTGACAATTCCTATCTTTTCTCCATTTATCCTGATGTTGCCTATTGGTCTTGTGGTGAGGATTTTTGTTTTCTTGATGTTGAGATGTAGTCCAATATACTGAAGGCTATATAGTCTTTGATCTTCTGCAACAAGCATTTCAAGTCTCCTCATTTTCAGCAAGCAAGGTTGTGTCATCTGCTTATTGCAGACTGTTGATGAGTCTTCCTCCGATCCTGTTGCCACATTCTTCTTCATATAGTCCATGTTATTTAATGATTTGTTCTGGACAGCAGATGTTGAGAAATGGTATCTTGGAGGAGCAGTCTTAGCCATTATTATTATTATTTATTATTATTATTAGGAAAATGAGGGTCAAGAGTTTGCCTGCCTTTTAAAAAACACCTCTCCTTCTGCTTTTAACTTCTTCCATTCTAGCTATGCTCTCCAGAGAGCAGTGGTGACCTAGTGGTAAGGAGTTGGCAAGCAATTCGAATCCACAGCCCTTCCATAAAAGAAAGATGCATAATCTCCTTTTGAGTAATTTACAGCCTCTGAAAATCGGCTGAGGGGTCAGCTATAAGATGGTTCCAACTAAACGGCACTCCAACAACATCAAGTAAGCCTCTCTCTACCTTGTTTGCATAAGCTTTTCCCACAACAGGGGAAAATGTTCTTGGCTCCCTCTCCCTTTGATTTTCAGGTAACGGATAAAATATGTTCATGGTGTGTAACAAATCAGAAGATATGGATGCACAGTGAGAAAACCAGAAAATGCAATGATGCGCTATCTCTCTGAAGTACCTCGTACCTCGGTCTTTTTGCTTTTATAATGCAAAGCAAGTTATGGCCACTAGTCACCTCTCTGGTTTCTCACAAAACATCCCCTGCCCACAGCAGCTCCCGCTATTCACGAGATTTCAGGAGACAGCCTGCTGGTGATTCAGGCCATTCCCACCACCTTCAGGAGAATGGGAATTTGCCCTTGAAGGCCACTAGACAAGACAGAGGTTGATGTCAAAGAGATTTTAAAGTTGACAAAGAACAAGTTTTAACAAAAGCTAATTCCATCAGTTAGTATTTCAATTTTTCCCATCATTAAGGATTTACTCCTAGATTGCTTACAGATTGCACTTTATCATTTGGAGAGACTTTAATGCCTATCTTCCCAAGTGAAAGTCACAATCAACAATGTAAAGCAAGTGGAACAGATTCTACAGGGTTCTATTCTGAGATTACAGGGAGGTCTCCCAAATAGGGACTCCCCACTCTGCCAAGACACTGGCTAACCTGGAGACAGAGGGATTCTGAGTTACTTGTACCCAAATAATCAGTACATGGGAGCTCTTGATAGCCTAGTGGTAAGAAGCCGCACTGCAATCCCAAAGACACAGGGTTCATCGACGAATTCCTCAGCAGGAGAAGGCTGGGGAATCTCCTCTCATGGGTCGGTTCTGACTTGATGGTACACAACAATAACCACCAGCAGCACATAAATATTTCGACTTACACAAATATAAAGCAGTAGTCTTGCAAGTGAACTCATAAAAAAAGCAATTATGACAGAGAACAGATAGGAAATGGACATATTAAGATAGACACAAACTGATTTTGGTAAAGTATTTAAAAAAACCCAAAACCTCAAAACAACAACAACAAAAAAACTAAACCAACTTCAGCCCGCCATTTTTATAACATAGTCTAGCTGAGATTTTTCCTAAGTCACACCTTCCCTCCCACTTAATTTAGAACTACTGAGACTGCCCAGTTCTCTAGGGAAAGACCAGCATACTACACCAGCATACTACACAAAGCAGGCTCAAGAGAGACTAACGTAGAAGAGATGAAACTAAGGCGCAACATTTTTGCTTTCATGCATAGTAAACCTAGCTATATCACCATAAATTAGAGAAAGAAGGAAGAACGTGCTTTAACCAACATTTATCATAGTTATACCCATCACAGCGGGGTACTGTACAGGTCAGAGGAATCCGGAGAGGAGTGAGGTGGTTCAAAGGTGGTGCAGCAGTTAAGTGTTCAGCTGCCAAGAGCAAGGTCAACAACCCTAACCCACCAGAACTCTTGCAGGAGCGGGCTCCTGCGTGACTTTACCACACCGCTCACTGCACAGGAGCTGCTGGAAATGCGTTCTAACTGCCAGAGCAGCTCCACTTTCCGGTTAGCAGGGCAACTCTCTAAGGACTCTGCCCCCAGAGTCCCCCTCCTGCATGGAAAGCTGACTTGGAAGCCTTATGGAGTTGCTAACAGTCAGAATCAACGACCGGGCAAAGGTTTTGGCCAGTGTTTATCTGTTTGGGTTTTTTATTTTGGGGGTTCTGGAGGGGGGACAACTGATGCTGAGGTGCTGAGGAAGCACACCTACAGGATCATAGGACATCTAGTGGAGTAATTCAGCAGGACCAGTCTCAAAAGGAAAAGGTGACCTCATTTGAGCCCTGAAGATGTCACACAAGCAGATGGAAGGAGTGTGCGCTGGGGTGGAGAGAACACAGCTGGATGCTCACTGTCAGCTTGGTTAGGGGAGTCAGTGCACCTGGGATCCAGTTCAAAACTAAAAAGCTAATCTCCTTTCTCTCCCTCTAGTCACAGCTACAAAGTAGTAATGATGGAAGAGAAAGAATAGTGGTAACCCTTTGCCTGTCAGCAGCACAGCCAGAATCCAGGCTCTGGGCACAGGGCTGGGGGCCCTGGAGGGCTTTCTCACCTCCCTAGAGAGCAAAACCTCAACTCCTGCAAGCAGTTCTAGCAACAAGGTACAACTATGACAGAACTGCGGGAGGAAGCACAGCCAGGCGCTTCTTTGGGGTGAAGATGATGAAGCTGCTTCTCACACATTTGGGGCATGCTATTGGGAGGGATTAATTAGTCCTTGGAAAAGGGTTGCCATGCTTGGGAAGGTGGGCGGTGGGCTTAAGGGAGGCAGGCCCTCAACAGGATGGATTAACAAGGTGACTGCGAGAGGTTTAAGTTTATCAGAGATGACAGGAGGGCCCAGGGCAGGGCAGGGTTGGGATCCATTGTTTACAGGGTCGTGGTTACCTGTGGGCATATTACCACCACCACCAACAACAACAACAACAACAACAACAACAACAGCAACAATAATATCCTGAGGCTGAGGATGCCCCAGGATGCGCTCGGAGCCTTTTGCACAGAGGTGGGGAAGGGCTTCCTTGGCACACCTGTGCCCGACCCACCCCCACCACGACACCCCCCCCCCCATAGCCCGATAGTCCCAGCTCAGAGGTCAGCCTGATGGCCTTCGGGTTCCCCCACTGGGGACACTGTCACTTCACCCAGGCTCAAGCTGGGGTTATAAGTGGAGACCAGCTGGTTTCACTCACCACCCCGCCACCCCAAGGCCAGCAGGGGCCTCCTCACCCTGGGTCCGCACCTCCTGGCCGGCAAAGACATGAAGCAGGAGCCGGTGGAGGCCCAGAGCCACGGCGCCCACCCCCCACCCCGGCCCCGCCGCGGTCCCTCCAGCCCCGGAGCCCCGGGGGGCGGCGGGGGATCTCTGGGCAGATGTCCGGGGCGAGAGAGGACGCCCCCGGCAGCCGGGCCCCGAGCACGTGCCAGGCCGGGCCCGGCCTCCCCTCCCGGGGGACAAAGTCTGCTCCCGCGGGCACCGCAGCCCGGGCACCGGGCGAGATGGAGAGGCGGGCAGGGCCTGCGCGCGGCCCCGGACTCCCCCCACTCGCTGCCTGGGCCCGTCTCCTCGCGACCCCCATGCACACTCACCATTGTGGTTGACCCAGGTCGGCTTCAGGAGCTTCATTGTTCGGCTGCCGCCGGGCTGAAGCGAGAGCCGCGTCTCTTAGCGCGCCCGGGCCATGGAGCAGCCGCCGCCGCTGCCGCTTCCTCCCGCACCGCCCACCTTCTGGCCGCCGCCCACCCCACGCCCTCAGCGCCGCCGCGCCATCGCCTGCCCGCGACCCCCGCCGCCGCCACTGCCGCCCACCGCGCTCGGCCGCCGCCGCCGCCGCCACAGCCGCATCCCCTGCGCCGCTCCTCCTCCGGCGGCTCCCGGGCAACGCCGGAAGTCACGGCGCGCACCTGCCAAATCGCCCCGGCGGGAAACCGCTCCCCGACGCGGATGGGGACGCCCGGGCTCTTCCGCGGGCAGGGGCGCCTCGGGGCGCGGCCGCCGCCAAGGGGCGGATCGGCGGGGACCGCAGACAGCGGACGGGGCTGGAGGCGCAGTCTGGCCGAGGGGCCCGTCCCAAGTGCCAGGTGTGGCATGCGTGGCGGAGACGCCCGGTCCCCGGCTCTAACGCACGGCTTCCGAATCCGCCTGACTAACTAGCCTCCTGTCATTCATCAACGTGCGTTTGGAGGGCAGCTCGCGGGCGCCAGTGACCCGCGCCGGCGCCAGGATGCAGTGGCCGCGCGATCGGAAGAATGCGGGCAAGCTAGCAATCCTGAAAGCCCGACTCAGGCCGTGTCGCTTGCATGACGAACCCCCCGAGCCAGCACCGGGGTCCCGAAGTGGGCGCGCTTATGAGAAGACCAGGACCGCTTTCACAGATGTGGACATTTGAGCCCGGAGAAACAAAAGGACGCCCCGAGGCCACTCCGGCCGCTCTTCGGGGTTAAGTCCTCTCTTGGGCGGAGGTAAACCAGCTAGGGACCCCGCTGGCCAGCTGCCAGAGACGTCCAGTGGGACCCGCGGAGGAGGGAGGGAGGACCCCGAGCACCAGGAGGTGCTGGGCGCGCCTGGGCGCTCGGGGGCGTGTCCTCGCGCCGCCGGTACGCCCGGGGCGGGGCTGCGTCGGGGGCGTGGCCAGAGCCTGCGGGCCCGTCCACATCCGGAACGCGAAAGCAACTAGTCGGCGCGCAGATCGGACTCATGCGCGTTACGCGCGGGTAGGACCGCTGAGCGGAGCGCGCCCGGAAGCGCCTGGTCGGCGGCGAGGAGGGGCGATGGCCGCCGGGGCGCTTGGCACCGTGGCTCGTGCTCTGCACCCGCGGAGCTGGTGAGTGCTGACGTCAGCTCAACAGTGGGGTGCCGGGGGCCCACGTAGTGGGGTGCCCAGAACTCATAGTGGAGCTCTGCGCTGGCCAAGGTCTCATTTGCCTTCCCATCCTGACTGCTTTTATGCCCCTGCCCATGATCATCCGATGATCAAGTTGATCTTGCCTCATCCTTTCGATGATAAACGTGGACCTTGGCGGGTAACAGAAGCCTTGCTGGGGTAGTGCATAATATACTGAGCTACTAATCAAAAGACTGTTAATATGTATCAGCTGCTCCACGGGAAAACTATGACAATCCCTTGAGGATTTACCGTTTTGGAAACCTAATATTATCAGGAGGAACCAACTTGATGGTCATGGACTTGGTCTGTAAGGGGCGTCGAGTAGACAGGACACACTACCCAGATTTTCTACTGTCATCAGCGAACTTTGGAAAAGTCTCCCACATTGACCTTGCTGTCACATCTAGTACTTTGAAGTGCCCCAGACGTGGGCGACATTGTAGGTTAGTTGATTTGGGGGTTTCTTCTCCCTGGGATATAGGTCAGATTGGTATTTGTGAAATATCAAGCACTGGAAACTGTGGGATGGATGATTCTCCCCTTAGAATCCAGGGGATTGCCATGAATCCAGATGGATTTGACCGCAACTTTAGGGGCCGGGGTGTATTTGTTTCTCACAGGCTTCCTGGGATCTGGCAAACTCAGATTAGAAGCACTCACCAGCGAGGTTCTCTACTGTCCTTCTGGGAACTCGTTCCAATGAGGTAAACTCAACCTTGGACCTCACCTCTCTGGGAGTTAGAGCAAGAGATATATGGATGTAGCAACAGAACAAAGCAAGACTAGTTGATACTTGGTTTGCAAAATTTCCATTAGTTAAGATTAGCTGCCCTCTTTCAGCATTCTCTATATGGAATATTGCTATGTTTGTAATAAGGGGGGTGGGAAACCACCATTAAAGTAAAATGTAGTTTATTAAGTAGCTTGCCTGTACTTAAGAACCCAGAATAAACTTGTTTGACCTGGAGCTTTCCTGTTTCCCTGTCCATTCTGATTTGGTGAGAGAGATTAAGTTACCTCTTGAGTACTTTCTGGGGACTTGATTCATTGAAACTAAGCCTTAACGCCGGAGGACTTGGTTTTAAGAGTAAATTATTACCCTGGGAGTTGTGTTCCTAGGAGTAAATCAGACTTTGGACAGTGGTCTAGGATAGAGAAAGTTCTTAAGAATGTTTTTTTAAAAAATATTTTTATTTTGGGGGTTTAAATTATTTTATTATTTTTTGTGCACGTACCATCAAATCAGATCTGACTGGTACAAGCAAGTGTGGCTAATGAGCTTTGTGTGGGTTGGTTGGTTTTTTTAAAGAGGTTTTAATTATGATTTTAGTGAAAGTTCACGGGTTTTCATTCATTCATCGATGCACAATTTGACATTTAATGACCCCACTCATTAATTACTTTATTCATTTTCATGAAAGTTTACAGAAACTTTGGATTTGCATTGTTACACTTTTCTCCCTGCCCACCCCTCCCCCCATTAATTACTCCCTGATCTCTCAGTTTTGGATGGGTTTTTGTTTGGTCACTGTTGCAGACCGAGGGTTAAGTGTTTTTATAATTATTAAAAATGAGACAGTCAGGAATGAGATAGAACAGAGAGCATAAAACAAGGGGCCAGCAGATCTCCACTGAAGACCCCAAGTCATCTTTCTCTGTGTATTTCTTGATAATCAGGGGAAGCAAATCATAAAAGAAATTCCTTGTAAATGAAGCCAGGCTCTTTCTATTGAAAACCATCCCTTTGACTCAGGAGGGGGGATTTCACAAATGCAAGAATTTGGTAAACCCTTAAGGATTGCCTTGGTGCCTCAGGGTGAACGCTAGCTCAGGAAGTAACACTCCGTCTGTAGGGGGCCCCTAGCTGTCTCCTGTCTGCAGGGAACAAACAGCTCATTTTCTGGGATCTGCCACAAGAGAAATCCTAACTTCTAAATCTGTAATTCCTTCAATTCCTGAACAGGGTTTTCATATAATATTTGGTATAAAGTTCTGCAGCACTAAGGATGAGCACTACCCATGAAGGTTTCTGTTTCTTTCCTGGGATTGACAGTACTCATGAGGACTTTGAAGTAGAAGTAGGATGGAACAATGTCCCATCATGTCTCTCAGCATGTTCATGAGACTGAGGAGGGGGAAAAAAACGTGTCACACTTGCTTTATGTATTAGAGCAGAACCTCTTCGAAAGAAGAAGAAGGTTGATCCTAGGAGAGACCAAGCAGCAAAAGACCGTTTGAAGAAGAAGATCCGACGACTCGAGAAGGCTAGCCAAGAACTCATTCCCATTGAAGATTTTATTACACCCGTGAAGTTTTTAGACAAAGCAAGGTAAGAGACTCTCTTCCAGGGTTCAGGAGCTTGAGGCAAAGGAGTGCGGTCAGTTCCAGGTAGTTCAAGCTGCACTCAGGCCTATGATGCACTCGGCCCTCATCTGAGTTTTAGTCTCCCTTGTGTATTTTCGGAGTTGGAAAAAAGTGTTCCTAGATAGATTGGCTCTTAAAGGGTTGACAGATAAGAAACCCACATAATGGTAAATTCAGGTCAGATGATTGGAGTGAATTCATGTCAGCACTTCTCCAGCGTTCATGCTCTTTTGCATGGCTGTGGTGGATCTGGACAGTAAGAGAGCTCTGGTGGCCTACTGGTAAGGAGTTACAGTGCCAATGCAGAGACATGGTTTGAATCGACCAACTGCTCCATGGGATAAAGATGCTCAGTCTTCTCCCATGTGATTTACAGCCTCTGAAAACCTGCTGGAGGGTCAGTTCTGAGTCTATTCCGTCTTGACACCACCTAACAATAGCTGCTTTGGGAATACAGCCGTTGGCCCCTCTAAGTGGTAGAGTCTTTAGCCTCCTGTCATATGATACAAATGTCCATAGCTAGCATTTGTTGGGTTGTGTTCTAGGCAGGATGTACAGCTCTTCGGCCTTGTCTTTGCTGTCTTCTTTGAAGAAGTGTTTACAGTAACAGCTGCAATGCTGAGACTCTGAACCCACCAGCCACTCCCTGGAATAAAGATTGAGGCAAATCTGCTTTACAGACCCTGTCTCTGGGGCACTTCCCCACCCTAGAGGATTGCTGAGTCAGAACAGACTCAGTAGCAGTGGGGTTTGAGTAGCTTGCCATGCAGGTAGGAAATGTTAAGTGCTTTATTATGAAACTTGAGGGTTGAGATAGGCGGCGTCCACCTTCGTAATAACCATTTCACTCTTCCCTGATGTATGTCTTACCAAAGGGTGGCTGTCATCTCTGGTGGCATGTTTCCTATCTCCACATAAAGCAAAGGACACTGCTTCATAGTCCATTATAGCTGCCTCCATGCTCAGGATTTCATTCCTTTATTTGTCCATAAGGTCTCCTTTCCCCTTTAAGTCCCACTTGTCCATGCCTGGGCCACTGACACAGCCATACAGACTCCCTTGTCAGTAGTCCTCCTTTCCAGCATGATGACCTTGACCTTGTGTGTCCCCAGAGAGCGGCCTCAGGTGGAGCTCTCCTTTGAGGAGTCGGAGAGGAGAGCTCTGCTTCTGAAGAAGTGGTCTCTGTACAAGCAGCAGGAGCACAA